TAAAGTATGAAATACTAAATATATGTACAACTCTAACAAACCATTTTTTCCTTGTGTTGAAAAAAGGCTTGAGTTTAAATTAAAACAGTGGTTTCTTGTATTTGTCCCTAAAAGGAGGTAAAGGTATTCATAGCCATCTCATTAATTTTAAGGTATAGAAGAAAGTTTATCATCTACCCCCCATACTGGGGAGAGAAGGGGGGTTGTTTGTATACAGTCTAAATCTCCCCACCTCCCAAGTCACAACGTACAAAATATGAAGTAATACAAATCCAGAAATGGCACACAAGTGTTTAAAGACCTTCTTGTACATTTACTTATGTGTGTGTGTGATGGCAGTGTGCACCTGTGGAGGTCAGTTCTAGTTCTACCTTGAGGGCTCTGAAGATCAAACAGCCTGGCGCTGATCAAAATGCCTCCCTTTCAAACACTCAGAACAACGGCCTGTAACCACAGCATTCGGAGGCTGAGGCAGGTGAGTCACAAGTTCAAGGTCAACCTGAAGCTGCTTAGTAAAATTCTATCTCAGAAAGGTGAGTAGGAGCAACAAATGAGAACATAAAGATTCCAAATCTTGCCAGGAGGTGGTGGCGGGCGGCGCATGGCGCACGCCTTTAGTCTCAGCATTCAGGAGGCAGAAGCAGGTGGATCTCTGTGAGTTCAAGGCCAGCCAGGGCTACACAAAGAAACCCTGTCTTGAAAAAATAAACAAATAAACAAACAAAAAAATGACCTTAAAACTATAATCCACCCTATGGACCTGGGTTCCACATAATGCCTTTAATTCCACACAACACGCCCCACTCATAAAGTATAAACAGTGCTCCTATTACACAAAGTCACTATACCTGAATCAGGGCCGGCTTTCTCTCTGACACAATGGCCATTGAGACACTAGCTGAGATAGTACTTTGCTAACTTCGAATGCCACAGTAATCTATCTCTCCTCCTACTTGTCTTGCCCAAGAACTACAATCACAACTCAACACCCAGCATGCCGCCTCTCACCTGAGTTTGACTTTTCAGTTCTCTTTGAGATTTACAGAAAAACCTACTGGGGTAAGGGTGGAGGGAAGGGGGTGGGAGGGGGCAGCCTCACGCAGTCTTTAATCCCAGCACTCAGGGAGGTAGAGGCAGGCTGGGTGAGTTCCAGGTCAGTGTGACTGACATAGCGAGTGCTGAGACAGGCAGGACTACATAGAAAGACTCTGCCTCAAACCAGCAAAGGCAAGACGCCCCAGCACGTGACTGACGCCTGCTTGTAACTCCAGCTTTCAAAATGCTAAAGGAAGAAGCTAAGAGTTCCAAGCCGTCTAAGACAGCCAGATCCTGTCTGGAAACACACACACACACACACACACACTCACTCACACACACACACACACAAGGGAGGGATGGAGAGGAGGGAGGAGAGGAGAGCAGAGAAAGATCTGGGGAGTGGAACACAGCTGATAATGAAGCCTGCTTGGGTGTCAGCGAAGATAAGAACAGGGAAAATGTGGCCCAGCTGTCAAGTGCTGATCTGTTAGACAAAAGTATTATTTGTCAACCATGACTAAGAAACAAGGGCCTGAGGCTGAAGAGATGGCTTGAGGGTTAAGAGCACTCACTGCTCTTCCAGAAAAACTGAGCACAATTCCTAGCACCTACGTCAGATGGCTCACACTGTCTGTAACTCCGACTCCTGGAGATCTGACACCTCTCACGTGCACACACCCCTACAGACACAGGCACAGTCACATGGCGGGATGTATGCGTGCGCACAAATAATTAAAAATAATACAACAAATCTTTAAAGAAAAAAAGAAAGGACAGTGGTAGGGCAGGCCGGGCACACGCTCACGGGGGGTGGGCAGGCCGGGCACACGCTCGTGGGGGGTGGGAAGGCCGGGCACACGCTCGTGGGGGTGGGCAGGCCGGGCACACGCTCGTGGGGGGTGGGCAGGCCGGGCACACGCTCGTGGGGGGTGGGCAGGCCGGGCACACGCTCGTGGGGGGTGGGCAGGCCGGGCACACGCTCGTGGGGGTGGGCAGGCCGGGCACATGCTCATGAGAACTATTCCTTTTCTCTGCTCGCAGAGTTCACCTTCCGGATTGCTGACTAGACCACGGTTTACTCTGCCCTCCTCTACCTTGGCCTTTGTTCTTCCAACTCTGACAGGGTAAGCTTCCTGTAAACTTCCTTCTAACCACAGCTTTACAACAGTGCTTCCCGTGGTGGGGGGACAATCTGGTCACCTGGCCTGACACCTTCATCCTGTGAACAACTTCAAAGGCCCTCTCTTAGGGAAGAAAAAGGAAGAAATCTATCAAAAGCATATCATCTACCGGCCATTACCCAAAAATACTTTGTCCAAGTCTTTTTTTTTTTTTTCCCCACTTACTTATATACTTATATAGTTTTCCTCCAGGAAATCTGAAAGATTTTTTTTGTTTTGTTAGAGCACATCTAGCCCATTTACCCTAACGGCATCACCTTCAACACTGACCTCCTGTTCTTAGAAGAAAAATCATGTGTCAAGTCAGACAAACATGTAAGAGATTCCTCAGCCTTGGACGCTTCCTTCTGCTCTTTGGAACCTGATAAATTTTTAATAATTAACTTGTAGCCTTCTCCTCTCATTACATATGAATTTGAACACATGACAACCTAAAGAAGTATTGAACTGTTTTTTTTTTTTGGTTTTTCAAGACAGGGTTTCTCTGTGTAGCTTTGTGCCTTTCCTGGATCTCACTCTGTAGACCAGGCTGGCCTTGAACTCAGAGATCCGCCTGCCTCTGCCTCCCGAGTACTGGGATTAAAGGTGTGTGCCACCACTGCCCAGTGGGGCATGCTTTGTAAACTGTGCTTTTCCATAAATAGTTCCTTATTTAGTGATGGGCTCCCAACAATGTTGCTAAGCGACTGAGAAAGACTTCTTTTGAACTCCTGGGGTCTCCCAACCACACCAACAGGAATTAAGAGGGATTTAAGGCTCATACAAAGATGTACTGGCATAGCAGAAAACGATAGCCTCTGACTGACAAGGCGGCACCGAACCAGGCTCTGGGCTGCAAAGTCAAACAGAAAAAAACATCCTACTTTGTGAATACAATTTTCACTGAGTGACTACTGAACCAAAGCTGCCCACCAGCTCTGCCCAGTAACAGAGCGGAATCTCGGAGTCACATCCAGCTTCCCTGTTCCTTCACAACAGGTGCAGCCAGGATGCTCAGGAATTCCCCTTCTGAGTCCCACAGGCCTTCCGGAAACACGAGAGAGCCTGTGTGCTGCAGTCACCGCCTTTTAGGTGCTTGTCCAAAATAAACTCTTAATCCAAGCAAGGCTGAGAATGAAGATTGTAGCAAAAAACACTGGCGAAATCAAGGTTATATTTACTAACACAGCTACTGCAGAAACTAGCCTAAAACGTTATTTTCCAACCTCATTTAATAAACTAAGCAGAAGCCAGGCCTGAGTGGTAAATGCTTGTGACTGATCTCAGCACAGAGGCAGAAGGATGGCTGGAGGCCGACCTGGTCAACATATCAAGTTCCAGAGCAGTTAGACACATATAGCAAGATCTAGTCTCAGAGAGAAAAGACGAGGATTAAGAAGCAGCCCTCTGCACAGCGCCTGTCTTCGCCTGTAATTACTGCGCTTTCAGACTAATAATATGGCTGGAAAGCACTGGCCTGGGGGATCTTTGGCAACAGCCTGAAGGATTCCGAGCAAAGACGCCTGAGAAGGTCAAAGCCTTGGGTAACAGCAGGTGCGAGCGGGCAGTAATAAAAGCACCTGGTGGCAGGGGACCGGCCTAAGTGATTTTCGTGTATTAACTAATTTAACACCAACCACCTGGAAGATCCCGCCATCCACCCCACCCTAAGTGTGCGGAGCACAAGAACGCCCAAGCAGCCTGAACGGAACATTAACACAGCCAAGAAGTGATGGAGATGCCCCGGCGGACGGCCAGCCTCCCGTGGCTCCCCCACGGCTCACACAGAAGCTCCCAGAAGCCCCTGGGCCCTGGCCAGCTCTCCCTCCATATGTTTGCTCTTGATGCCTTAAATCGCATCGC